ATAGCAGCATCGAAATGTTAAACAGCGCTGAGTCATTGATCATTTAAAATCAACTCCATCTAGACGGTTGTATGACTGAAGTGCTGGCAATGAGCGGAAGAGAAATTACTGAATACACTTAATCATCAACAACACCCGTCAGTAGGTGCATTATATGGGGAAAATAGACGAAAACATCTATGAAAATGAAAATTATTATTTACCATCGATTTTTCACGTCCAAAAATCTTTATGTGATAACATATTGAGGATTACTGTTAAGTACCTAATAGATTTGTATTTGCGTTATTATAATATTAGATTTATAGTAAAAAAAAATATTTTTCCGGATTTAAAAAAGTGCTTACACTTACTTAAGCGGTACCTGCGTCTAACGAATATCCGAATACGAAAGCACTACAACCATTTCGAAAACTATAACAAATTTTAATTATTTATGATATCATATATTATAATAGTTTTTTCAACATATTGTTACCTCTTGAATATGACATTATAATAATTTACTCCGTAAGCATCTATGGTATTATTATACTGGTATAAATATAAATGCCAGACAATAATTTTAGAAATTATTTACAAACCGAATTATTTCTGACTGGTATAATATGGGACAACATGTCTAATTGACGTAAATAGTGAGAAATATAAATAATTAAGTACTTATTATAACTTTCAATACGTTGGCAGTTGGCAGGCATAAACAATATATTGATTGATGTTTGACACCGTTGATGGTTAAATATCAATAATAACCACGAATCACTAGAAAACATTATTACATTTAATATAGTTTGTAAATATAGTTTACGAGGAGTTTACTAATTAAAGTAAAAATATAATTTTTTTTCTCTCATTAAAAACGATGTTTGTGTATATTCTTTTCAAGTCACTCAAGTGAAGTTAAAAAGTTGTTTATACACAAGTAATACAACTTAACTAGTTAATGGCCGTTCTTGATTAAAGATGTGTACCTACTCTTATTAAACCTCAAAGAAATTAATGTAGCTACTATCTTCTCATTTTAAATTTAATAGATACCAAACAGAGCTAACATACATAATGGAATTTTTAGTCAGACATTTCATTATTTTTTTAAACCTTTTTCCCCATAATGTAAGTTAGCAAAATACATGTATTATTCTATTTTCTAATCGGTCTATATAATATTACTTCATGAATCGAAACATAACGTACTTTATAGGTACTGTCGTAAAAAGTTTTTATTGGAAAACAACAAAAGTAACATGTTATTCTATGATGCCCATCTAACTGAAATATTTTAATAAAACATTTATATTTATTACACGATCGTTGAATAATTTAACTAGTATTTTACCTCCCTAAATATTTAGAAGTATATAAGTATTAAAAAAAAAATATTGAAAATTATAATACATTTAAAACCTCATTATTGTTAAATAAATTACTCTAAATTCAAGTGCAAACAGTATGAATTTTTTGTAACAAATGTACACCCACAGTATTTATAAGGTCGTAAATAATAATGTTTTATATTATTTGAAGTAACCCTTAAAATGTAAATACATAGACATCATTCAAAATGTTTAGAGTTATTGTTCCATACAACAAATGTAGACTACATTGGGATTATTATGTCGAATTATATACAAAACATGCCAAGAATACATTTATCACAGACCTACGGTTAAAATTTTAATATATTATATTTTTAAAATTATTTATTTTATAAAAAAAAAAAATGAGTTAAAAGTAATAATAATAATAATTCTGAATGTTACATAAAACAACTTTTATGAAGATTTTACTTTTGGCAATAAAACTATTATACAACAACGTAATTTGAGTTGAATAAGTAATAACTACTAAAGTAGGTAGAGAAAACTATGCTTTTTGTGAATTTGTATCAACAATATAATAACGTACCGTACTATTATTTTGAATTTTCTAAAATTAATATTTCACCGTCAAATATCTACGGTTTTGGATTTGGTAATAAATATAAATTTCAATAGGGATACCTCGTAACGCCATGTCTTCTACAAACAGAATACAAATGTATTCCAATAAAAAAAAAAATGACACGTTCAATAGAAATATGAAATCATAATTTAAAAAATATATATAATATATATGTATATCATTTTTGAGCCAATTTATTTTTCTGACACTTCACTTAATATAATATATATATATAAGTAATGAAAAATACACGGGAGAGTAATCATGAGATTTCGATCTCCGATTGGCGACGAAAACCCACAATTCTTTTGCTGTCAGGGATTTGTAAGAAGTCTGTGGTTTGCTTATCGATAACGGCACTTTCACGACTTATCCTCGCATCTCCGTTGATTTCCGTTTTCTTTTTGACTTGTAAAAACGATTTTAACGATTACCTCGCCAATACAAACATATATACAATAGGTACATATATTCTGCAGTGTCCACACACGTTGGACAGTGAGAATGTTGAAGCCATGGTATTCCTCAGTTTCTTTTCCAGCCCAAATCTGAACACATTTTCTGTTTTGTTTTATTGCGTTAAACTACGATACAGGTGACAAGACCCCCCGCGTGCCCCTTTCCAGCTCGGTTTTGAACACTGCTACTCGAATTTGATTTTTACACATCTTAGAAAAACATTCGGCTTCGCAATGTTTAGGTAGTTTAAAATGTATGCCATCATTAAAAAAGTAAAAACTTGAAAATTGGTATTGAAAAAAAAAATGTTTTTTCAACATATTATTAGATTACAAAAAAAAAAAATATATTTCCAAAAAAGTTAATACTTTTAAGAAAATTAGAATTTAAATTTAAAAGAATCCCATTATTCCCATTGTACATATATACTTGACCGGTCGACGGTTCCTGAAATGGGCTACTCATCTCGCTGGGATCACCCAGGCGCAAGTTACGGCATTTTTACAATGTGCACTATATTATAAGGTTCGAGTCTATAAGTACAATAAATAATATACACATCCATTACTCGTAGATTATATTGTTATTTTAATAAAAATGATCAGAGCCAAATTGCCTTGTTTTCAAATATTGTACAGTTAAAAAAAGCATAATAATTCAATAGGTAAGCTACATGTACCTTATAATTTCAGTCTCCGAAAAATAAACACAACATGTATGTATCATCTTCGCAGGAAAATAATTATGGTTTCTAGTGAACCGTTAGCAAAATAAATACCTGAACCATGTCTCACAACGTTTTTCCTCGAAAATCTCCCTATTAATATGCTCCTCTACTCACTTTTTAAGTACCCAGTCATAAGACTTATATAACTATTTTCATACCTAATGGAAAGAAAGAACGTAAGCGCAGTTCAGCTTTTAAAACATTAATGTAAATAACCTCTATAAAACAGGTACCTCTGAATCTATCTCAATTTTGTTAAGGCCAAATATTATAGTACTTTTTCAAATTTTTAATTCAGGCAATCAGGTAAATCAAATATACCAATGGTGGTTCTCTTCCAGAAGTTCCAATACATTAACAATTTTATAAAATCATATTTCTAAAACATTCATTGGAAATAAAACTATTGGAGAATACAAAAACAGTTAGTATATTACTTCGTCTATATTTTCATAAGTACATTGAGTACAAGTTGAAAGTTCTAAAAAAAAAAAATTAGAATATTACTCATTATTTTTCCTCTGCTGATAGAATAATCTATGGATTATAACCATGTTATTGTTAATAAGTAAGTATGACAACGAAAACCTTATGAAAAATCTGTCAGAAAAACAAAAACCATAGCACGCTACTCGATATTTCTCCATGACAACGAACACCTTAGAAACAAACGTACAGAAACATTTTATAGTGTATCCAGTAAAAACCATATGTATGTTTAAAAAAAAAGAATTAAATCTTTACCTAATGTTATATTATTTATTAGTATATCAAATAATTTGAACCATAGTAAAGGTACTTTCTTCCACCAACTAAAATGATTAATATATTAAAATAATAACGTTCAATACTCGACGTCATAAAACTACTTATTAAATTGTAAACTAGTGTTTTAAAATTGTTTATTAATCGGGATTCATTAAATTTGTATAACAGTTGAAATGTATAAACAATAATAGTCATACCGTTTATATTTGGTTATTAATGAAGGCGTAACGTCCTAGAAAATAAATGAACAGATTTTGCATTGTTTGATCGTCAAAATTATTCATGTGCGAATGTGCAATACAACTTCTTATGCGTAACTAATTTAAATAAGTAAATAAAACAGTGATAAAAGCCTTTAGCCCTTTAGCAAATATGCATAACAGAGGCACTAAAAGGAACAGCTAGTTAATCACTTGGAATTATAATATAATATATTGTATAAAAGCGACAACTGTTGTGGTAAGGAATGACAAAACATGTAAAGATACAATTTTATTTTTAATTTCAGAATTCTTAAAAGAAAATATATATTGCTACCCATATTGATAGCATGATATAAAGTATCAAAATGTAACTTTTTTTAAATAGGTGATAAATATTTAATACATATCATATGAAAAGTAATTTTATTATTTTGATGAAATGAACACTAGGTAGTAAACGATGATATTTAATAATTACTTGCTTGATGATTATTTATTTTTTAATTATTGGCTTAGCAAACCATAGAAAATAATCAATGTAAAAAAAAAGTATTTAAAAAGGAATTTATTGCAACTAATAAAAATTATTTTCTATACTATTAATAATTCTTAGGGTTAAAAATGATGTATTTATTATGAGTAAATTGTCAATATAAAAAAGAAAATATTTCGGATGATATATATTTTTTTTTCGACACTTTCAAAATCATTTCGTTTAAAAAAAAGAAAGACTATTAAGTATGTGCAATCGTGCACACAATTATTTTATGTTAAACTGACTGCTAAATTTAATATTCATTATGTTGCGTTCAAAATGTGTGCCCAAAGTTCATCCTCTATAGTACACATGTATTTAAAAATCAATTTGAAAAACTTGATTAAAATATGACAATGTTTACCTGTAAGATTTTTTGAAATTTCTTGTAGCTCCTTCAAGTTTGGAGACATAAAAGAAAACCCTTTCCACATATCTGAATAAAATGGTTTGGAAGCCACAGCAATGTCAGTTGTTTCAAAGTATACTGCACAAAAAATCACAAATCACTAGAGAAACTATAAAATTGTCACAAAAGATTTACTCCATTTTGGACAATCGGGCCCTTACCTGGTATGTTTTCTTCGTTGCAAAATCCAATTATAAATTCCATTGTCTCTGGACAAACATTTCCATCGACAACCACGAGCGGACTCTGGTACAACGCGTCAATATTTTTCTTGATCTTTTGGGATAATGTAGTTACAATGCCGAAGATGAGATTCGTGAAATAATATTAGTAAAAATTATCATGCAATTTATGTTAATTAAGACGTATTACTCAAATAAAAACAATCTATAGAGTCATAACGATGATGGTCCCTGAACCACCCATCAGGTAGTCGAAAAACAACTCTTTCTTTTTTTTTGCATAGAAAAAATTACGTGGTATACCGCATACATATAGGGTATCTGGTAGTGAAATAGTTATTATTTTAAACAAATGTATCAATATTGATGAAAACCCACCAAAATTTCAGATAATTATTGTCATAACGTTAAAACTAGATATAATAAAATTGGGTTAATTGGTACAAATGCGTAAACATTTACTGAATAATTTAAGTAATATAAAAAAGGGGAAAGTTATTATTTATGGCTAGTGACAACTATGCAAAATCAAAAAATGAAATTCATGGATCAAAATGGTTTTCTAAACTTAAAAATAACTGTCAATGCAATACAATATACTAGATAAAATAGCAGTTATTTTAACTTGAAAATATCATTGCATATGATACGCGCTATTGGGAGTGAAGTTGGGTTGATTTAAAAATAGTCAACATAATTATGTTAAAAACGGGTGCTTTTTGTATCAGTTGTAATTAAAAATTACAGAGTCGTTTGAAAAATAGCATCTATCATAATAATATAATATTTATAGTTTATATTTTAAAGTTAAGTGTACATTTTTGATTATTGTCACTTCTCTATAAGTCTCTAAGACCACAACAAATTTAAAATGAAAAGAGTAATCAAACATTATTGTAAAATGAATTGCTTCTTATCCCCAATCATATATTTAATTTTTTTTAATAGATTGATAATCAATAATAATTTAAAAACCAAATGTCATCATTTAATAAATTAACGATGACTTCGACTCGCTAATAGTTATTTACCGAAGAAATTGATTGGTATAGAACTATGAGATAGATGTAAGTTATAACTATTATAGGCAATAGCAATTTAAAAATATATAATCCAATACTGTGTTTCACATGATTCGAAACGATCTTCAAATTGCAAACTTTTTGATAGAATTAATTGAAACTAAACTTTTGAGTAATTGCATTCTACATTGTTATATATTTGTTCGATGATCGTATTTGACAACTTTCTAAATTAATTTCTTTTAATTTTTAATTAGCTTCACAATAAATTTCAAAACAATTTTATTATTATAAACTAAACGTAGTATACAAAATATTAAGTACCATCATTTATTTTAAACTCGTAGTCTGTTAAGTACATATTATTTTAGACAGTAAAAGTAATTACAAAAACTTTCTTTTTTATCAAGTCATTAAGTTAACGTGAATGTTGTACTACTTAGATTTATTTGAATACCACTAGCATTATTCTTGTCATAATCATAAAAACTATAGTGAATAAACTTTTAAGCACTTAAAGGTATGATATCTATGTGAATGTGAATATGTTTATAATAGTTATTTCAAAAATTAAATTAAATGTAAAATAGGTGTTTGTATAATTTATTCAACTTTTTCTCATTTTAATTTATACATAATTATTTGGTGTAATGTTGTAGTATATATAATTGGCTCTTGGACCAACCCCGGACCAAAACAATTTAACTATTAAGTTTTTAAAATAAAATAAATTATATTTGGTAAAATAAAATTTTAAAACGGAATTCTAATTGAATCAATTGGCAATTTGTTCACTGTATTTAATTGTATGTATTAAGTATCATTATTGTGATAAATCTAACCTTGCATTAAAATAATGCGTATAGGTAATATATTTTAACTAATGGTCATTGCCGCATCCGAATTTGTAAAAAAAGACCAAAAATAAAACATACATTATATGTATATTATATAGTTAATATTATATGTCATTGATAAATACATTTAGTTATTTAACATTTAGCATTATGTTTGTATTGTATATATCAAAATGTATTCGATGAATTTCATTGATTTATCATTTTTCATATCAAATAATTAATCAAAGTATGTTTTAAAAATAATTTAAGTTCGTAATTTCTATTGTTGCAACACAAATAAAATATTATAAATGAATGAAGCCTTAAAACTAATGGATATTAATCGAGTAGGTACTCGAGCACTCGATTTTGTCGAAGCAATAAAAATATTGACTTGACAGAGAGAAGTGGTTCAATCGATGTGATTGAAACGTCGCGTCGGTGTGACGGTATCAAGAAACTCAATTAACAGTGGAAACGAATTATTCGACTAAGGATTTTAGGTTACTCGGTGTTTATACACTTATACTATACCTAGGTACCTATAGTACCTTCTATACCTACCCATGCACCGGTATATATGCATGCGATTACGTCACGTCCCAGGGTACATTAAATCATTTCGATAATATTTCAAAAGGAATTAAATTATAAATTATAATTCGACGTCGGAAACTCGGCCCGTAAATTACCATGTCAATAGTTATTCGCTTGTGGCATTCCATGTCACCGATGCACGCCATGCAGTCGCCTAGTCGGTCGTGGAACACCACGCACCAAGACGTCGACTGATCACCGACCACTGCGATCCTGTCCGTTTTCTATAAAAATCAAAAAAATAATAATACCCAAAATCGGTCTCGATGTGATATCATATTGGAAACTCACAAAGGAGCGCCGAGTGAACGAAAGGATGATATTAATCATTATCCCAGACGACATTTCGTAATTTATTATAATAGTATTGCGTAGTATTATTATTACAACGCAACACTAATATTATAGTTAAGAATAAAAATAGAGTAATAATATTTGTTGATAACAAATCGCTGCCTGGAATTACAATAGCAATAGTATATATACTAACTATGTGGTCGAGCGATTCGATTATCGAGCGGCCGTTGGAATCGTCCCCGACAGCGGTCAAGAAACAGACATCGTGTCCGAACCGGCCCAAAGCGTCCGCTATGTTTCTACCGACCCCGCCGCTGACACGTTTCATTTGACCCGCCAACATTCGACCGTCCAGCTGGAACAAGAGAGTGCATAACAATAATATTAAAAATTAATGTCGTCGTCATTATAGTCGTTACCTATTACAATCATTTATAAAACACAATACAATGTCGTATAACACAATATGCTTGCTCTGTAAATTCACTGCAAAACACATCCGAAAAATGTCCGACGGATGTATTCTGCTTACACGTGTGTGTTTTAATAAAGCTAATCCCGAACAGTGTACTCATTCGAAATGCTCGGCACACGTGCAATTTTGCAAAACTGTGAATGCTCATTAAATAATATAATATATACAATGCCAAACAAAGGTCTGATCGGTTCGTAACGTAAGCTTTCCATTATTTGTGCCATTCCGACTATGGTTATTATTAAATAACGCACACTATGGCAAAACAGTCACAAGGACATGATTCACTTTCGTGTCCTCTGTGATGTATTAGCATAGTTACAACGAAAATAAATACGTAAATAAACAATGGTGTTGCCTTCGAAAAATAGACACGAATAATTTATTGGTGAAAGAACGATTTAAAATACATTTACACAAAAATATATTATAATGTAATACTCAAAAGTAGGCAATCGTTTATATTGTTCTATACATTATTTTGGAGGTAGGAAGTTGAAAACTTTTCGCGATTTAATTATTAATCGCATTCGTTAAAAATTCTTAAAAACCATTAGGTAGTTACAAAGTTATAGCGCTTAACAAATAAATACCTGTGATTGACCAAGCATGCACTCGCCCCCTCCCCCCTGGCTTTCCATTAATAATGAATTTATTCAAATTCTAATTTTTGAAAATTTTTAAGTCAGGGCCAAATGTATGGCTACTTTGATTTTTTTATAAGGCGTGTCCTGTGACGATAGAAAGTCATTTTTTTCAAATGAGGACCAACGTTTTTTTCTGTAAATTGTTTGATGATTATATATATCCAGGTATAAGCAAAGTTTATCATAGACCAGATGATTTTACAGACAAATGTTGATGTATTTACATCGAAATTCTAACGAGTAGTTTTTGAGTTATTTGACTTTGTGTACTAAGCATAATAAGTCCATGATTTAATAGATATGGAAGACTTTCCATGATATGGGCAAACGGTAATTTGAAAATTATAGTAATTATACTAACTTATAATAATCTATTTTCATTTTATATTTTGTAAATAGTGCCCAAGTATCATAAGTACTTGATTAATAATTACATGTATTTTATATTTTCGTGTACCCATATTTAAGTACTATTATTATTAATTTAATAGTAAAATCATTTTGATAACTTAGAAACTACTGGTCTGAATTTCGATTCAGAAGGTCAACATTTTCAAAATAGTCATCTACTCATCAATTGATAAAAAGTAAGTATACCTAGTTAGGTACTTAAAAATTCCAAAAGCTAAAATATGAATAATTCATTATTAACGGATAAAATGGGGGTGAGAATGCTTGGTAGTTCACCCTGTTTAGTTTGGTCTTTCTGGCTGTATGTTTATACACATAATAGACGAATTTTTGCTACATATATTATATAAGATAATCGAACAACTAAACCAGCTAAAATAAAATACAAATATATATTGGATAATATCATTATACTTACAAATGCATAGTAATTTTATAAAAATAAATATGAAAATTACATTCATTTATAATAATTTAAAACATATTCAATAATCTGTTAAATTAGTAAAAACAAATCGGACAAGTTATTTATTTGCTCGTAATAGCTACGAAACATATTCTAAAATCACACCGATCGGCTCACACGTGTTTATTATAATTTATGAACAGACTAGGAAAACACAATTGGACATGCTGCCATGCTGGAAAGTTATGCAAACAATACTTGGTTCGTTAAGCTTCATACTGGGCACTATAGGTTATTATCTGTTACGAGGAAATTCATCAAACAATTTAACCCTATACCACCTCTCGGCTCTCACTGTTACCAAACGCAACACGAATTCGAGCATTTGTTAGGCCTTTAGACGCTTTGTGGGATAAGTAAAGCCAAGCAAAATTACAAGCCACAAACAGTGTTCTAATTTGAAAACGGCTAAATTAAAGTATGGCTTCGGGACAACAGATTTGTGCAATTAGGTCAGCCATTTAATTGAACCAAAATAATATGTCAGATGATAATCAATAAAAAAAATATGGAAACAGACAACGAATAAAAAATAATTCATCAACTATCACAAATTATATACTATCTACTACTTATACAGTAAGAGCACGAAAAGCACTCAACTAATATCAAATGTAACAGTTATTTGAAATAGTAAAAAAAAAAGGCCACGGTAAAGATTTATCCTCCCCTCCGCGTCGGCTAGAACACCCGTGTATGGAGTTCTTATAACTCATAGTATTGTTCAGTTTTGTTCCAAATGTGTTCCTATATATGTTAAAGGTATAATTATAACTCCATTTCCACTTATTATTTCTTAATTTTTAGGAAAATAATTATCGAAGGGCCAAAGAAAACTTTTTTTTAGTTATAGTTTAATTTTGATGCAAGTTATGAGCATTTTAATAAGTAAATGTGTACAATTAAACAAAACCAAAACATCTAAAAAACCTATATCATAATTAATAGATAATCATATAGTTAATATATTTTTGTTTAAATTCAGCAGATACAACAGACAATACAGCGATAGTGCACATTTTTTATAATTTTTTTATTATATTATTATATGATTTATTTAACTGTATTTTATGTATTAGATATTCTATAAGTGTTTAATTAACCGTGTTTTGTTATTGTACATATATTACTTATTTTACTTTTTACCAAAATTTTCAATTTAGTTAGCATCATTTTTCTATTTCGTCCAAATTAATCATTTAATTGCCCTGCGTGCTCCGCAATTCCCAAAGACGGCACTAACCATCACTGTTTTAAACGCAGTACGAAATATCCAAGTACTATCGTTCATTCATTTGAAAAATAACAGAAATTTGGTTGACGTAATTAAATAATTGATATTTTCTTTATTAAGAATACGGTATATTATTTTTATAGGTAATAAACATCACGGTTGAGCGATGCCGGAAAAAACTTCCAAATTATAATTTATATGTCTTATAAATAATTCATATTATTACAATATGTAAATACATTATTGGTTTAATGGTTTACAAAACACATACCGTAAAATGTAAAAATAAACGCAATGTATAGCCGTCGATTATATCCAAATATAAGACATATTGATGATTCGCTGGGATACATTATAATATTATAGTACGTTTTATAATGAATTGTAATAACTAAAAACTTAATCGTCAGTTTTCATGCTCTATATTCTGTCAGTTCACAAAATGGTAAACGACCAACTAAAACGTACGCTGTTTATAAATTGTATAATAACGAATATAATAAATTAATGTTTTCCAATTTTGATTATTATTATTATTATTATTATTTTTACAAAACATCGGATAAACGTACAATATCATATTATACGAGCAGCTAGTGTAAAGTATGAACTGTAGCCGACATAACAATATTTATGATGAACCATATATTACGATGTTAAACGAGACCGAGGAAAACGGATATTGGCGAATGGATATGCAAACAGATAGGAACGCGCAGTGAACATAATCGATGTGATAAATCAGCATTGACGTTAAGCACTAATATATACCTGTAAACGTACACTACCCGCGGAGCGTACTCACTCAGTTGACAATTAATTAACTAGTAATCGGTGATCTATACATTTATTACACGCCAAAATGCATGCCAGCACAAACACATTGGTACGGGCCAACATTGTGGAAAATAAATTGAAATTATAATATTATATAATATATATATTATTGTACCGTGATCAATCAAATTGATTTACAATATCTACGGTATACAGTGTCCACAACATTATTATTATTATATTATATATGATTGGAAACATATTATTACTATTATTATTATTATTATTATTATTATTGGTAGGAATTTAAAATATTGTGATATTATTATGCACTCGAGTGACATTCAAGGCCCGTGTACACATTTTTTGTGCAAAACCATAACTCGCGAGCTTACGACTGCGAAATCCGTCGACTAAATAAAAATATCCCACCGAGATACGCGTGCGAAGATTTGCAACTCGATGACATTACCTACTATGAGATTGCAGCAATAATTCAATAATTTCGATATTTATTAGCCCGGATATTAACTTGCCAGCAATTTTAATCTCGACGAAGACGGATTAGGTGCGATTTCGTCAACAGACATTTTCTCGTGGTATCGCCATCATTAAGTAGGTATACAACTGTAGCAAAGGACCTTTGACGTTTGAAAAACGCGAAATATGTATTTTTTTTTCATATCGAAAAACTTTTTATAACCCTCTTTCATACATAACGATGGCGTGCACACACACACTACACACACGATCACATGTTAACATTGATCAAAAGAAATATGCGAATTAAAACTCCTACTCGGCGTGGTTGCAGGGAAGGAGTAAGGGAATATACGAAACGCCGAAACGACGAAACACATATAAAAGTACGTGCGGTGTCCGTTAGAGATAAGTCGCGATTAAAATTCATGAGCCCATAAAAAATGACGTGTTTTCTTAAGTGCGGCATGAATTATCGGGGTCGGAGGTGAGTAGACGAGATAGCGGTCGGCGGAGGGTACGGCCGGGAAGAACCCGAAGACTTATTCGATATAAATGCGTGAGCTTTTTCTCTTTCCTCTCTCTCACTCTCTCTCGCTCGCTCGCTCCATAACTGTCTTTTGCTGTCTCTCCCTTTCTCTTTTTCGCTCGTCATCGTCGTTGTATATTATATATTCCATCTCGTCGTCCCGTCTTTTCCCTTTGGCGCATTAACCGCGCCGTCCATCATTCCACAAATGAGATATAATAATAATTGGAAGGTAAAAGTGAAAGAGGTAAAAAGGGTTCGGCGGGGTGAGTGTAGGGGTCAAGACACGGGACAGATTTTGCCGAGATGAAGCCTAAATTGGCGGCCGGGGGAATGATGGCGCGCGCGGTCGACGCGTTGTGGTGCAGGGACCACAGCGGTGAGGGGCAAGGTGGATTGTCAGGATCGGTGCCAGTGTAAGCGGTGAGGGATAGTTCACGGGAAAGAGCGCGAGCACGGAGCGGGCGGTAGTGTTGGGGGTGGGCGGAAAAGGCAGCGGCGGTGAGAAAGCGAGTGAAAAACAGTGAGAAAGAGAGAGAATAGACGTGATGGAACGGGGTGTGGTAGCGGAGAGTGGTCGTATTAACTGGTTTCCATGGTAACCTTTTGATGCGTAGTGCAGTGCCGGGATAAAACCGGGCGCGCGTCATGCTCTCTCTCTCACACACACTCCATCCATTTCGCTCTCACCCTCCCACCCACCAACTCTATTTCTCTCTCTCGCCCCCTTACTTTCTCTCCCTCGCTGTCTCTCCATCACTCCCTCTCTTTCTCGTTCTCTCACCCTTTCTATCACACTCTACACAGCGTGCTTCCACTTTTATCGATTCGGCGACCACATAACCAACCCATTTAAATATTTTCAAGTACACGTTATTGTAATGTGTGTATGTGTGTATATGTGTGTTCGTGTGTCTGTAACGTGTGTATGCGAATGGGGTGGGATGTCGGTGGTGTGTATGTTTGTGTGAGCTAGGAGTAAGGGGTGTTAGTTATCTGTGTGCGTGTGGAGAGAGGGGGTGCTAGTGAGTGTGTGCATATACATAAATGTATATAAGAATACGGTTATTTGTTATTTTAATATATTTTGTGTGCGAAGAATCTTGGACTTTCTGTAGGCCAAGGCGAACCTTATCGATTATATTAGCTATAATATATGTATATAATATGTATTATATGGGTGTATGTGTTTGTGTGTTTATAATTGGGCCATACATAGCACACTGCTCACATAACATAATATTGTTAAAAACGTTGTCGCCGCCACTACTCGTTATATCGTACCCTCAAACATATAGCCTAACAACCAACACGAGCTATAGCATATATATAGCTGCCTGTCGCAAAGCGATAATAGTATAAAATAATAACATCAGACATTGAAACGTGAAGGACGCGCGTTCCCCCCCCCCCCCCAAAAAAAAAAATAATAATAATAAATAAACATCCTCGCCAGTGTGTTTCTGCGTATACTTATAAAATTACAGTAAAAATACTTAAATGACAGTACGCCGACAACGTCGTGGACGACGATTATCAAATTGACAGAAAGAAAATTATAAAAGAAAGAAATCGGCAAACAGTTGCAGATCTGGCGAGCTGCTCCATAATGTACCTGTTGATTTTGAACCCTTAACGCCGGCGTGCTACTCGCTCTCTCCCACCCTATCCTCACTCCATCTCGCTCCTCTCTCTCTCTCTCTCTCTCTCTCCACCCATCTATCTATCTATCCCTCTTTCTTTTTTTTTGAGGTTGTCCAATTATTGTACCGAAACTAAATGAGTGACTATATTGTGCACTGGGCTATTCATTTTGTATCACATTATTGTTATTATTATTATTATTATTATTATTAGGTAGGTACTTATTTTTCTCGTTTATGTAATTTAACACCATTCGATATACGTATATATATGTACAATGTACACTGAATACACCCCCCGGCACTCTATTGGCCGAGAGGACCGATGTTTTGGCTGTCAAAAAAGTTGTGTTGTTGTACGGAGGAGCGAATTCGGTTTTTTTTTTTTTTTTTTTAAATTGAAAAAGTTCAATTTAACTGGCAAACTTGTGTCGTTTTTTCCGCATCCCAAATAAAATTTCCTTTGCATATTGTTCTGCAACCGTATTTTTCCAGAGTCGTTCGGGTAAATGAAATTCCTATCTACATTCTACTTTGGACATTTCAACAAACAAAAAACAACCAATGCACAGAATGAACACCACCTGTTTTTTTTTATGAAAAACACTCACATATAAATATATAATACAATATTATATTTTATGAACGTATGGTTATATTATGTAATATAGATGTATTAGGAATTTTATTGTATTCGTTCAAGGAAAAACTTTTAAACTTCTCCCATCAAATCAATATGATAAACTTGTATTTGTATCACGTAAGAGTAAAATACTGCGTTTGTTAATAATTCCTCAATTCTAATTCATAAGATTCAAATTAATAGTTACAAAAATACCAATAATATAGTGGATAAACAATAGTTTGTTAAACTCTAATTATGTACCTACAGTTATGTCTTCATCTACACGGTCAACAAATCGTTATTCTCGAGTCTGTGAATCTGCATAATGATTCAATATTATTAAGCTTGACATTTGCAACGAAAACGTTGTACCACACTTGTATGCAACTGTCGTAGAATATTTAATTATTAACTAATCACCCAAACATTATAAATTTATACGAGTAAGTATACATTGTCCCCAGTTGTAAAATCATATAAAATTACTAGGTAATAATCATTCACAGCTTTATTTAATATTTTATTGACTTATATTCTCTTTTTATTTTTCTGTTTCTATACTGTCCAGAATAAAATATTTCATGAAATTTGTACCATTCTTTATGTTGAACCTAAGTATCCGGACATAATAAAAATAAAACATAAATATTACAACAATATTCTTTTTTAAATTTATTTCATCTTTTTTTATGTAGGTACTAAAACATTTAGGTTGTTAGGACACATAAATTATATAAAAACAAACGTTTGATATACAATTAATGTTACCTAGGCGAACCATAACTTTTTACGATATAAGTAAATGATGTATATTGTTACTATATAATAGAGCAAAGGTCGCCGTCTGTTCGATCTTTAGAGGAATATTGGTCGATAGTATTCAATATTAATTAGGTATACCAATATATCCGTTGATCATGTGCGTTATCTTACACTTTAAGACTTAACAAGCATTTACGCCTTATACATAAAGTAAAGTATTTATTAGCGAAGAAAAACATGATTTTCAAATGTCCGATGGGCAAATAATAAAAGAATAACATCATTATATGGTTGAATTTATATGCTTGATAATATAAATAATATATTACCTAAGCAAATAGTGGTCGATCACTAGATACTTAAAATGTTTAGTATAGCTAACTTGTTGGAAGAGGTTGGCGACCCGTGTAATAGATAATACAGTGATTTGAAGAATTGGAATAATTAGCTTATAATTAATATCAGTGATTAGTTTTCCAGACTCGTAACATCCAGTGATAACATATAATATTTACGCAATAGTGCGTATAAAATATAATCGATTAAATTATTGTCAACGGTATCTGCACCATTGTGAATCTAAAAAATGTACCGGCACCTATACAATATACAATAATACAATATACATGTATATATGTATACACATTTTGCTATCAGGTAAATACGAGACACCGAGTGAATAAAGATAGAATTTCATTCCAAACATTTGCATACTGTTTTGACAGTGGTTGTGGTTGCCAAAAAAAAAAAAAAAACAATAATAAAAAAATAATTTTTTTAATAATAATAATAAATAAATAAACAAATAAAGGGCGAAAAACAAAGGGAAAAGGTACAATTTAACCAGCTGTAAAGAAGAAGGAGAAGAAAAAGAATACGAAGAAGACGACGAAAAAAAAGGCGTACTACTACGACTACCGGGTGTCCGAATCGCAAAATAATTACAGATTTCGCCACCAGTACCGCATTGGCTACGGCGGCGTCGCGTTACTCATTCATAGTGTGCGTTCGCGCTGTAACACGGAAAGTTCTGAATGTGCGCGCTGGACAAAATAATGTATAAAACATAGTAAAAAGTAAAATGAAAAATATGTGCGATTCATTAGGGCTTTTTTTATTATTATTATTCTTACTACATAATTAATCAAACCGATAACGATACAAATCCGACAAACTCTTAAGAAAATATATTTCGTTTCATTTTTTTTTTCGTCTATCATTATTATTGTTTTTATTTTTAGATGAAAAAAAATAAAAATAAAATATGAAGTATTAGCGTTCGCCGCACAGCGACTCGGACTCGTCGAAATCACGAAAACAAACTAATTATATTTAATAGTATGCAACGTCATTGTATATTCTATTCATAAATGCGTCCCGTTCGATTGCGACGATCGGATAACATCAACTACTTGCAAGGCAAATGGCTGTGGGCCGAAAAACCTAGACTGGGATTTCCAAAATGTGAGTACACCAAGACATGACTAATTTTAAAGAAATAATGATACCGTTTCGCTCGTGAGTCGTACTATGAATTATGATGTAGAATATTATGATATAAAGTCGAACACGGCGTAATTGGACCAACAGTGGGCTTAGTGTGTACAATAATAATATTTTCGTTTAAATTCATCATATTTGGTACCTGGACCAGCAATACCCGTCAAGTGCTCACGTATATATTATAAAAATGCGTAACACTCACAGGACGCAATATCCTACCCTCGATTTGTCGATCGTATACGTTCTAAAATGCAAGATGACTTTGAGTGACTGACATGACTTGTACCCTATATTAACTAATAAGATACTATAATATGATTGATAGCACAACTTATAAGACATGATAAGATTGAGACATCGTGTCAAGACTTACCCGTGTAAGAATAATTATGGTAAATACGTCCGGTCATAATGTGTATTAGCATAACATTATGACAGAATTATTAAAACAGTATACACATAACACTATACGTTGGGTCGTTAGGGTCCGGAAGTTGGCATTTGCATGTAGTTATCGAATGGACCAACAAAATAGATAGGTTTTCAGCTACGCGTTTTTATTATATTATCGACTAAGAAAAAAAGTATAAAATTATTTTTCGTAATTTTTTTTTTCTGGCACATACCTAAATACCTACATCTCTTCGAACCAATACCCCATAGTTATATACACGGTGGAAAAAGTTGGCTCAAAAACGTATATTATTATTTGGTTCTCTGGTCATAAATATTTTAAAATGTTATAATCATAACTTTCCTGGTACAAAAACTTCTCTCTGCGAGTAAAGAGAATAAGATATTTTATTATTTATATTATTCAAAATTATTGGAATACTTAAAAATGAAAAAGTTAGGGTTCCAATATATTATTAAATTAAATAAATACTAAAACAATTATAATTGTAAAAAGAATCTAACATACTATACATATTAAATAGCTGATGAATAGACACTTAAATATACAACGCATAGGTATAATAGATGAATTATATACTTGTTAGAACTCATTATAAGATCGTCATCATCACCACCATCATAATTTCTATCGTCTCTATAGGTAAGATTAATTAAGCGTCAACAATAATTATGCTTTTTGCGATAGAACACTGTCACTTAAATTGATGGTCAAGCTCACCGAGACATTAACAACGGTGTCGATTTAACTCGAGTAAAGTTTTAACGAGACTAACAACGACAAAAAAAGGGGATGTAAACGAATCTGTAATTTTCAATTTTATCATATATAACCATCACCTCCAGACGATAGATTGTGTGATCATTGTTCTACAAGGTTATAAAAGGAGTTGTGTTTTTTTGTTATTTTCGTAAATTATTGAAATCAATTACTGCTTAAATTAAAGCATCACGAGATAAATTAATAATACCGTCTGATTTGATTTAGCGCGGTTTCGATATTCTCATAAAAAACATGTCAGTGTGCGCTATTAATCTTGGACGACAAAAAAACGCATACACTAACATAAAAACAACTGTACGCGGGTGGTAGTAGCAGTGTAATATATATTATATATTATACAATCAATTCGACGGAATAATAATAATAATGTGCCTATTGAACGTTTACAGAAGAATCGAAATTGGTATAGTTATATACGAGACAAAAAAAAAAACACAAAGTGCACAGTAAATGTATGTGCACGTGAGCAGATTTATCATGTACCGTATATTATAGAATATAATAATAATGATAAAAAAAAAAAAAAAAAACGTATGCAAGTGTCAATAATTCAAGCTTGGAAACAGTATAGGTAATTCAAGCTCCGCGATCACCGCTGCACGGAGAAAAACTCTGTATTATTATAATACCTATATCATATACTGCACGGTGAACCTTCTGCAAAATATGTTTTCGTACTTTTTTTAAAGTTAGCGATTCTTATAATATATACGCGTATACATACGATAATAATACACACAAGTATAATACTGTACGTATAAAGGTCATGCCGCCGCCGCCGCCGCCGCCGACGTCGTCGATCGCGTCCGTGCACGGCGGCCGAGGGTTGCGAATTTAACGTAAAAAGAATGAAAAAGAAAAAAATCATTTTGTTTTTTTTTACGCGTATTTCTCTTCGCCGCTGACCTTTCGGAAACTGCGCATACAGCGATACGCGTATAATATTATAATATGCTTAGTGCCTACACCTACCTACCTACCTGCCTGCGAGACGAAAGTGTGCGGCTGCTTCTAAACTACCGTATTGGTTACCGCGATTACCACGCTATTACGACCCATCTTTATATTTTAGTGATGCGATGAGACGTTTCCCCGCCACGTGGAGGGGGACTCGAAAATGTCCTGCGAGTCTTGCGAATAATTAAAGTCCGATCGAAAACCAACTGCAGGTAGAGCAAATATAAAAATAATTTTTTTACGCGTATTATTCTTTTCGCCGCCGCTGACCTCTCGGAAACTACGCATACAACGATACGCGTATAATTATACTTAGTACCTACCTACGAGACGAAAGTGCGGTTACTGCTAAACTACTGTTGGCTACCACGGTGACCGAGTTAAAGCTACCTGTGTGGTATACTTATGATACTAATGTGCAAGCCCGGATTAAGGGAGGATGGGTTCAGGGGGGTCGTTTAATATATTTATTATAATGGGTTTTTTTTACCAAATAATCAAGTCAAGTATAATTGTAGTACAAGTAATTGAAAATGAATCTCCGTGCACTTGTAATTTTCCCCAAATATTTTTATTGGCATTTTCTATGCATATTATATGATACAATCATTACAGAATTTTGGCGTCCTTCGTTGTACTGTATTATAATATCATAAATTATAAAAAATAAATATATATTTTCGTTAAATATGATTTCGACCGTAATCGAATACTGTACGCTGCAGGTACCTACAGCAAATGAGCGTAAGCAGTGAACGCGTCGTACGAATAAGCCAATACGTTTTCAAACGAAAAACAACGGTCAGCGGGCTATTTAAGTCGAATATCTTACAACGGTCTATAATGATAATATTAACAATCCAACCGTCCATAACTATTATGTGCTCTTTAGCTCGACGACATTTTACGACGCACTTTTCTCCTCGGTTCCCCCTCGCGTACGTGTACATTTATTTACGTGTCCATACGTTCAGGTAATCCTTATCGATTTCGTACCATCCCGCCGTTGTCGTCGCTTACGTACTCCCACGCGCCCCGTTTTCGCTATGGCGTCACTCGGTCTGTACGAAAAATAAAAAAATCATTCCACGACTCCCCGCGATCATCTATATACATATACATATATATATATATATATCGGCGTCTTGTCGACGGCTGTCGGGATTGTGTCTGTTGCGATGCTCACGAAAACGGTGCACGCGTGTCATGCTCATATCGTGTCGTATCGATGTTTCGTCGATTCGCGGTTATACCTGGGTAGTATATAACTTCTCGGCCCCGTTTCGGCGAACAACGGTCGCGACTGCCCACATAGTAATATATATATATACTAGGAGGCACCTACCCGTTTATTCGTTTATTTATTTGTCAACTGATTGACGCGGCCACGGGTATGGGTGCGGCGATCTCGGCAGTGGCGCGATTGATTTAGAATAGTATACATGTAATACACTGCGCAGTAAGACAAAAACACATTTCGATACGGCGCAGCGGACGAGTATGAAACGGAGGAAAAAAAAATAAACGGAAATCGCACCAAACAACTCACAGTCGCGCAGCGTTTATCGGCGGCCACGAACCAGCCAATATGTGTGCGGGTGGCCAACTCGCGGTCGCACAAGCCACCGCGGTCGATGGGGGCTGATTTCGAGCACACATAGTCGGCGACACGACTTGAAGGGACCAAACGGACGGCACACGGATCGGGTGGAGTGGGTCGAGGAAACGTGTACGGGAAAGCGGTATAGAGTTATCGGTGCATTGTATACACGCCGTATATGCACCGTCAATAATTTTCCGGGGAAAGTTTAAATTGGCAGCACAACAGTGTTCTGGGTGGTTTACGAGCTCAATACGTCATGTAAGACAGGGGCGTAGTCGTGCGAGCGCGGGGGTAGTCGATGTCGAACGCATACACGGGGCTTGCGGAGAAAGCGTCTCTGTACGCGATCGAGGAATCGCGTGCAGCGCATATGTACATAATAATATAAGGGTCCCACAGGACGGAGCCGCGCTTCTGGTATATATGGGGGACGAACTGTATGTAGAGAACACAGCAAAGGACATATTTATTGCGGAGGAGGACGGCCCGTGACGACATCGCTTAATCGACTGGACAATCCCCGCCGAGGTCATACAGAGCTGCGACAAAAAACGCGTCGGTTCGACCTGCACACTCGCGCCCATCACACGAGACGTCTTGTATACTATATTTTTGATTTTTATATCATATTTTATATTGGCCACGCGCGAGTACTATATATAATATACTCGAGCCGTTGGAAATCGGTGCGACTTTAATGGTTACGTTCGTCCATGACCGTCGGTACACTGCAGCACGCACGACTACGATCAAAATATTATTATTTTTGTTTCAAAGACAGGTGTCCATATACTGCGACGGCAACACGAACACTGCACAACGTACGCGAGTAAGACAACATATTTTACTGCGACGGCGGCATTGCCAAAGGTTATGATTTATAATATCGTCGAGATTAAAACCGATTGATGTCCAATCGTAGCCCCGCGCATAATAAATACCATGAATCTCGTTTTTTATATTTTCGACGACCGATAGTCTACAAAAATATTGAAAATAAGCCTTAAAATTATTATTGTTTTGTTTTCTCCATCAATCACTGTATGCGTTTTGCTTGGGCACATTGATTGAGGATATATATATATATATATATACCTATAGTAATCGAGGGCCGGACTTATGAAATAACGTTCGTTAAAATTTAACTTTGGTTTTTTTACGACTCCGCCCCCTTCAAAAACATCTATTTTTCATAATACTTGT